TATAAAGTAAATTATTTTGGCAACCATTTATTTTATTTAATCAAATAAAATTGCTTAAATAGAATCAAAGATTGCCAAAAGAATTTTACTTGTAATGATAAAAAATATACTTTATTTTAATTTAACTACTGTTAATAATGAAGCAGGGACTTGGCTCTAAAGATCATTTATGAAAAAATTTATTTATTATTTATCTAAAATTATTTTAACAACAGTGCTTTACTTTTTATATAATATTTAAATAATTAACGAATTAGAAATATAAAAACATATAAAGCTTAATTGATTAATTATAAACTTTACAGAGAGGGCTGATTTATTATAAATATTAATAATCATTTGAAATATAATTATAATAAGTATATATAATAGTTAATTTGGAAGTTTAAAATAGATTTTTTTTTGCATCTTTTATAAAACCTTAGAATTGTCAATCACTTCATTCTTTTTCTAAATTCAATCTGAGTTATGTGGATATAGTATTCTATCAAAAATTCTTAATTTACCAACTTACCCTTTAAATTTAAAGGTCACTGATTCACTGATACTAGTACTATAATTAGAAGATAGGTTATTAAATAAATATTATACTTTCAAATTTAATCGATGTAAAATTAGCTTTTACTGAAAATTCAAGAAATTTAACAATTTCACTTTAATTTTTATCTAAATTAATTAAGTATGATAATTTTTAGTTCAAATTGTTTAAGAAGATGGTGTATTCAAAAATTTTTAAATGTTTATAAAGGAATATTAAAATTATCATTAAATACAAATACTTAGCAGTCTTTTTTATAAAGAGGATAATTTTGATTGAAAAATAATATAAGATAAATTGTTAATGTTTTCAAGAATCTAGATTATTAATAAAATGATTTTTTTTGTTTTGTGTGATTCAAAAAATTTCAGTAAAATAATCTCTCCCTCATAATTTTATGGTGCTAAAAATATCCTAGATTTATCTTATAGTTCAAGTTAGATAATATATATCTTTTATAACAATTAAATGCTTTTTGTATTTTTCTGATTAAAGTAGAATATAATGAAGGATATATCTAAACTTGTCTTTGCTTCTAAATTTTAATCATTCAGATTAGGGATAAATTTATTTAAATGGTTTGGCTATAATATTTCTTCTTTCAACGAATTTATAATATTAATTCTTAAAAATTAAATGTTGTGTACATCTTCTTCATTTATTATCTCTTTTTTGATTAAAATTTGATGATTGAATTATTAAATTTAATCTTATGAATTAATTTCATTAAAATAATTAGATTGGTCAACAGTATTGGTTCGTGATACCTTAATTCAATTTAGCGCTATTGATTTAAAAATTCAAATCTCGAGATTAATTTTTATTCATCTTAATATATTGCGTAAATTATTGCTGAAAATTTACCTAAAGTTTTTCTAAAAGAAATGAAAAATTATTTGATTCTTTTTGGCAAAAATCAAATTCTTTTTGGAATATTTTTATGAACCACCCCTCATTTATATCTTGATTTATGTCATGGTATTTAATAAAAGTAGCAATAAAAGATTTAGTTCCTAGGAATTCTAAAAAGTAAAAAAAAAGTGTCCTTTGAATGTTAAACTTCTATTCTACTAAATAAATATTTTTAACATTATTCATTTTCTTATTCACTATTAGTAATCTTAAACAATATGAAATATATATTTTTATTTTTTTATTAATTAGAATATAATATATAATGAAATAATTTTGACTTCATATTCAAATCCTTCAGATTTCTTTAGACTTTGCTTTGAGTAAATTGATCTTTGAATGAAAATATTAAATACATCCAATTTCTTTTTTATTGATCTTTATTCTCAAAAAATTTACTTTCAAAAAAAAGGAATAATAAAAAATTATTTCTCAAAAATATCGATTAGTTGAAAATTAGGTCACAAAAGGTTTTGACTGATTAGTAATAATTCTTTCAAATAAAATTCTTTCTGTAAAGGCAAATTATCTATCACTGTTAAAAAAGGTTAATTATAAGGCTCACATTTTTACATTATATAAAAATAAATAAAAACAAATAATTATAAAAATATATTTAATTCATAATTTTAAAAAGTTGGTTGTATCACTTCAATTAGGGGTATAGTAGAGTATAGATTAGAATTTAATCCAAAATAATACTATTCTTCACTCTTACGTAAGATTGTCATCATATGGATTGGATTTCGACTTTTTGTGGATTTTTACATTTTGAAGGATATTGTTTAAGTATTTGACAATCCATCAATATCAAACTATTCCAACAATTATAAAGGACCAGCAACTTAAATCTCATTTGTTTTAGGGGTTATAGTTATGGAATCAAAATTTGTGTCAATAAAGAGCTACTTTAGTGGAATTTTAATCACTTCATTGACAGTTGAAGTGATATAAAATTTTTTACTCACTATTTTAGAGCAAGAATCAATAACAACGATGAGAGTGTATAACACTAAAATCATAAATTTCATCATATTTAATTTCTACTTATCATAAAAAGATTTCAATTAAAATAAATGTTTCTAATTATATTAATATTTATTCATATCATATATTTCAGATTGCTAAATTATCTAACTAAAGATTACCTCTTTTATGTAATTTTGGAAAATTATGCTTAAATGGATATTTGTTTATAAATATTTTATTTGATTAGTTAAAATTAACTATTTTTTATATATTCTGCTAAAACTGGTTCATCTTATTGCTTCTGGATAAATGGCTTTAAAATAACTCTCTACAAAAATAATTTTGGTACATTACATATAACATTTTCTTAAATGTGAGAATCAATAAATTCTTTTAAAAGAATTTAATTAAACAAAAATTGTTTCTTTAATTAATCTTTTTAAATTCTTTATAAATCAAATATGCATCTAAGTACATTACAAACTTTGTTAAAAGCATTTAGAAAAATTAAGAAATGATGATAATAAACGAAAATTCCATTCAATAAATATAATTTATAGTGTATAGAAATATATTAAATATAACATTTATTTAATTAAACATTTTATATTTATTTTACATATAATTGTTTAATTTTTTATTATCTATTCCGAATAATTAAATTTATATCACTCTAAAACCATTAAAAACAGTTTAAAGCAATTTAGTTTAATTTCAATACTGAAAATTTAAACTTAAAAAAAATTATCTTTCTGTAAAAAATGGATTCGTTATAAATTTAAAATCAACTCTTTTTTTGGTAATTTAAACTTCATTAATTAAAGAAACAATTTTTGTTTAATTAAATTCTTTTAAAAGAATTTATTGATTCTCACATTTAAGAAAATGTTATATGTAATGTACCAAAATTATTTTTGTAGAGAGTTATTTTAAAGCCATTTATCCAGAAGCAATAAGATGAACCAGTTTTAGCAGAATATATAAAAAATAGTTAATTTTAACTAATCAAATAAAATATTTATAAACAAATATCCATTTAAGCATAATTTTCCAAAATTACATAAAAGAGGTAATCTTTAGTTAGATAATTTA